CGCCCTTACGGATGAAATCTCCCCTGAGACGACGAGTTTCGGGCTCATCTTTCAAAAGATGTCTGTACGCCTCCGCTGAGGCAAGAGCCTTGTCAGGAGGTAAAGAGAGAAGTTCTCTGTATAACGACTTCGGGTTCTGATTCAAGACCTTCTTCATGTTCTCCACTTGCGTCATCTCCAGCACCTTCCTCAGCAGTCCATCATCCTCGCGGAGTGCCCTCCCGTGTTCTTTTCCCAAGAAATCTGCAATCTTGAGCACGCAGGACGCTGTGTCCTTCTTGAGGTTCTCAAAGGTCAGGAAGAGCACATTCAGGTCATGGCGATGTTCGTACCAGGGCACCAAGTTGTGAAAATAGTGTCCGAAGATCACTCGTCCTTCGAGGAACATGCGCAAGAAGTAATCGAACGAAGCTTCTTCGTACTCTGGGTTAGGCGCAACGTTCTTGTGGTAGTAGTACGACACGCAGCAATCATACGGGTTCCTCGCTACGTAGATGTACTTTGCGTGAGCGCAGGTCTGCAGCCTTTCGAATGGCATGTGTGTCTTGATGGCTCCTGGCTTCTGCATTCTTTCGGCTGCCTCAGCACCGAGCAGTTCAAGGAAAGGCGATCGCAGCATGAACTCAGCGTGGTTTCTGGGTGGGACACCCTTGTTGATGATGCAGTATACGATGTATTGCATCCATGTCGTCCCGCACTTCGGGTATGTGGCCACAAATATGTCATCGGGTTTTGGTCTGTAGGTCAACGCTGACCGCAAGTTCTCTTCGGAAAAGAATGAGCTGACCAGCATCCCGTCCACGTCTTTGCACCCTCCGAATGGCATGTCCCTTGGGGGTTTGTTTTCTACGAGAGACAGGTAGAAATATTAAGATCTTCGGCCCTCCAATCACCACAAGTTATCACATTTTGAAAAAAAAAATATAATAATTTTGACACAATGAATTTGTGTGCCCAGTCAGTAGTTAGCCCACGTGCCCTGCTTTCCACAGGGGGATTTCAATTTGTTTTATCAAAATTCCTGTTGCCCGTAGTTTTTGAACCTAAAACAAGAAAATATTACTGTTTGCGGAATTTGAATCTGTACCTCAAAACGTTTATTACTGCACCGCCGTGTTAATTTTTTTAGGGGGGAGGGGGGAGGGGGGGGGGCCTTTTAAGAAAACATTTTTTTTGGTATTTTATCAATACTTTTTGCGACTGTGCCCTTTGAAATTGCAAATCTTTTATAAGCTAAATCGGGTAGCGACGTTGCTTTCTGGTGAAAGCCGGTTTCCGAAATTAAACTGCACGCATTGGTTTCTCTTGTACACTCAACAATTGGAGCTATGTCGTATCTTTTCTACCAGAAAACGAAGCAGTCCATGGAGACGTTTTGCCAAATGAAACGTTTTAAGCAACACTTCCATATTTCGAAGGCAAGTGTATTTTATTATTTCCGGTTAGAAAATCACTGACCATGAAACTCAGACAATAAAGTATGGTCATTGACAGCGTAAAAAACGCAGGGCGTGACTTGAACTATGAAGTTATGGTTTAGTTTTGTATATTGTAGTCATTTTTCATCAAGGCAATTGCCTGCACGCACTCATAAAACCAATAATATATCTGTTGAATGCACCACGGTGCAGTATACAACCACAGGCGTCTTGGAGTGTAGCCGAATTATCTAAAAAAGTATCAGTTAAAGTATTTACAATGAAGTCCACAAACATTGTGCTCCAGGGTTAGCGGAGCCCGACTGCCTTCACGGCCCTAATCTCGAAAAAGGACATCTTTGAGAACTCCGTCAATTCGAACTATTCAACTTACGTTCCTGTCCGTTCTCCATCAAGTGGTTCGGGTGTCGCCGTTCCAACTATGACTTCACCAACTGACTTCCCCAGGTAACAGTTTATGTTGTGGAGACAGTCGGCGCAACAAAGTTTTTATTCTTTATTCTTTATTCAGGTAGCTCCTGCAGCGCCGTTGAGGCATTATTGCAGGGGGCGAACAGCATAGAAAAAAACATTTCTGCATTTGCGGCACAAACAGTTTCAACACTTAAATTGTTCCAATCCCTAATGGTCCTAACAAAGAAAGAATTTTTGCACAGTTCCGTCCTGGTGGAATATTCGCGTATTTTGTGGATATGATCTTTACGTTGGGAAATATAGTAAGGGGGTAGAAGGTAATGCAAACCGTTAATACCAGTGTGTTTATTATAAATGCTATATAGAAATTTTAAGCGCAAATGTTTCCGCCTGAATGTCAGCAAATCCCAGCCTAATGTACTCTTCATGTCCGCAACGCTCGAAAAGCGGTCGTACAGCCCCAGGACGAAGCGTGCCGCACGATTTTGGATCCTCTCTAAAGCGTCTATGTGATTTTGCTGAGCAGGATCCCACACAGTGCAAGCATAATCTGTAAGAGGTCGAACGTAGGTAAGGTATGCAAGTTCTTTTATTTTTTGTGTAGACCTTTTTAGATTACGCTGGATAAAACCGAGTGCCCGTCCCGCCCTCATGACGACATCGTCAATTTGCGCATTCCACTTGCAGTCTGCTAATAAGGTCACCCCCAGGTACTTTACTTTACCGTCGTTTTTTAGTGGTTCATTATTTAAATAATACTGAGTGTGAAGTTTATTTTTTTTTTGCGGGTGAAGGTGACATGTACACATTTGCTGGCGTTTAACTGCAATTTTGATAGACTGCGCCAGAGTTCAATTTGATCCAAATCAGCCTGCAGTTGTCTGGAATCCTCATCGTTTTTTATACATCTATATACAACACAATCGTCAGCAAACAATCTTAGCTGAGAGCTCACGCCAACGTGAATATCATTTATAAATATTAAGAACAGCAAAGGTCCAAGTACCGACCCCTGTGGCACGCCAGAGGTAACTCCAACAAAATCTGATGTTTCACCATCTAGAACCGTACATTGCCGACGCGAACACAAATATGCCTGTATCCAATTATGTACCGAAGTATCTAGATTCAAAAGTGCCATGTTTCGCAACATGAAAACAGTTTTATTGCAATCGCGCTACAATGTTGTAGCAGCAGTCATAAGACTGCAGAAGTGTCCGCTGCCAAAGCACTGCGGCAACTGTGTCGGTCAACCGTTGACTGTTTCATGCTCGCAACAGTTACCGAAACATTGCTTTTACCCAGCAAAATGAGTGCTGTCCTGATGTTGCTAAACATTCGGGAAAAGACCAGCGCAGCTGTAGGCGAAACATTATCACGAAACACCAGCTCCGCCAACAACGTCACGTTTGCATTTGCGAGAGTGCAGAGCTGCTGTTTTGCTTCTATTCGACTGATGTTGCGGTAGCGCCGGGCCCCTTGATTCCAAAATATTGTGGCAACGCAACTTTTTTTTTTTTTTTTTTGCTTTCGGAAAACAAAGTTTACAGTCAACGCAACGTCCGTTTTTACAGTCAGCAAACTGTTCCCGTGGCAGATTCAAAAACAGTTTGCATTTATACTGCCAGATTGCAGTCGCCAAACATTGCTTTCCAGATGTGTTCCAACCGTACGACACAACAGTTTTGCGCTAGGATGGAATATATGTTTCGAGGAATTGTTGCGGAAACACTGGGCACCATTGTTGGTTGACTGTTGCTCAAACCTATTCGGCAAACGCTGCGCTCAACAATGGGACTGCAGCTGTGCATCAGTTTTTGCCAACTGTTGCCGCATGCATCTTCTCAACATTTGCACTGCATGACGAGGCAGCGCTCCTCGCGACAGTGCTTCCCCATGATCGGGGCAACAATGTCTTGCTTTTGTTGCCAGAGTCAGTTATGCCGCAGCTGCGTGGCATAGTTTTGCGGGTGTTCCTCACTTGTCCCGCAACAATTAGAAAACAGTTGGGCAGCCTTTTGGCAACATTGCGGGCACCTCATCGCAGAACAATAGTACAGCCAACGTTACTAGAACTCAGTATACTGCCATGGAACATTCCCCGAAGACGTGTCACCGATCCGTAGACAGGAACCTAACTATCGGCGATCGCAACGCCGCCACTTCTCCCGCCTCTGCCACTAAGGAAACTGCACAGCTGTTTGAACTGGTTCAGAGTATCGTATTCGAAAGCGTCAACTATTACTCTTCTATTTCGGCTTTAATCGGCAATATCGTCGCCGAAACAGATGCGGTAGAAGGGATTTCAGGGTTGCCAACCCCCGTCTCCCATGCGGTCGTGTTGACACCGCTCGCTGTGTCAACGCGAGAGGATAGTCACGCAAGCTAGAGCACACAATGGATAAATAAAAGCGTTTGCCCACACTCCAATGGTCGAGCTATGCCCTCGCTCGCCCACTGTAAGAGAACGAATCAGATTAAACTTTGGTCGGAGCCAAGCTACGGCGATGCAAACTATCTGCTCTTTGAACCCGTTCTTTAACTTAATCTCGCGTTTGTTGGTACGTATATATATATCACATCCAGGAAACTCTCTTTTGCAGGTTGTTTATTTTTTTTATTCATTCGATAATAGCATCAGCTACAGAAACTATACAAAAGAAAGCTACATGCATAAAATGATAATTTTCTAGAAGAAACTACTTCTACTGTACGAAGTTTCGAAAGCTACGCCGGGATACTGGAAGAAACAGTCCTTATCTTTAGTGCAGAAGCTCCGAGTGTCTCGACCTACGCGGGTAGAAACTGGGGGAGAGGAGGAGGCGAGAGCGCAGTGGACGTCAGAACACCGACATATGGCTGAAATGATTATTGGGTAGATGCCAATCCAGCTGGAGCTACTTTTATCCCTACTCAATCTGCAAAGGCGTTCGAAATCGTGTAGAAACAGGCAGCTAGCTTTACGTCTACCCTCTAATTGTTCTATAGCCAGAGCTCGGTGTTCCGGTGTCCCCGCTCGCTTTCATCTCCTCCTTTCCTTCAAGTTCTACTCGTTAGGTCAACGTGGTTGCTCAAATATTCTAAGCTCGTCAAATATTTTGCGGCGTGGCTAAACACGCATGTCATCTGTGGCTGTGTTCTCGAAGATCTGCTGTCGTTTACGGTGTCTCAACGTCTTCTATGCTGTGCTCTTCATGGAAGGTCGAGATCCTTCCAGAGACACATGACATCGCTGCCTCGAGTATTCTCGGCAATCCAGTCCTTCATGAAGCGCAGTTGTTCCGCCGAAAAGTGGCTCTTGTAGTCTCCCACCACGCCCTTACGGATGAAATCTCCCCTGAGACGACGAGTTTCGGGCTCATCTTTCAAAATATGTCGGTACACCTCCGCGGAGGCAAGAGCCTTGTCAGGAGGTAGAGAGAGAAGTTCTCTGAATAGCGACTTCGGGCTCTGATTCAAGACCTTCTTCATGTTCTCCACTTGCGTCATCTCCAGCACCTTCCTTAGCAGTCCATCATCCTCACGGAGCGCCCTCCCGTTCTCTTTTCCCAAGAAATCTGCAATCTTGAGCACGCAGGACGCTGTGTCCTTCTTGAGGTCCTCAAAGGTCAGAAAGAGCACATTCGGGTCATGGCGATGTTCGTACCAGGACACTAAGTTGTGAAAATAGTGTCCGAAGGTCACTCGTCCTTCGAGGAACATGCGCAAGAAGTAATCGAACGAAGCTTTTTGGCACTCTGGGTTAGGCGCAACGTTCTTGTGGTAGTAGTACGACACGCAGCAATCGTAAGGGTTCCTCGCTACGTAGATGTACTTTGCGTGAGCGCAGATCTGCAGCCTTTCGAATGGCATGTGTGTCTTGATGGCTCCTGGCCTCTGCATTCTTTCGGCCGCCTCAGCACCGAGCAGTTCGAGGAAAGGCGATCGCAGCATGAACTCAGCGTGGTTTCTGGGAGGGACACCCTTGTTGATGATGCAGTATACGATGTACTGCATCCATGTCGTCCCGCACTTCGGGTATGTGGCCACAAATATGTCACCTGGTTTTGGTCTGTAGGTCAACGCTGACCGCAAGTTCTCTTCGGAAAAGAAGGAGTTGACCAGCACCCCGTCCACGTCTTTGCACCCTCCGAATGGCATGTTCCTTGGGGGTTTGTTTTCTACGAGACACAGGTGGAAATATTAAGGTTCCCGGCCCTCCATTTGGCACAAGTTAGCGAATTTTGAAAAAAAAAATATAATAATTTTGACACTATAAATTGCTGTGACCAGTCAGGAGTTAGCCCATGTTCTCTGCCTTCCACAGGGTGATTTTAATTCGTTTTATCAGAATTCCTGTGGCCCGTAATTTTCGAACGGAAGCAACAGAATGTGACTGTTTGTGGAATTTGAATCTGTACCTAAAAACGTTTAATTACTAACCTGCCGTGTTCATTTTTTTTTTTTTTTTTTAGAGGGGGGACGGCGAGGGGGGGCTTTTCGAGAAGGTTTTTTTTTTTTTGGATTTTATCAACGCTCTTTGCCATGGTACCCTCTGAAATTGCAAATCTTTTATAAGGGAAGTTGGGTAACGACGATGCTTTCTGGTTAAAAAACTGTTTCCAAAATTAAACAACACGCATTGTTTTCTTTTGCACACTCGACATTTGGAGGTATGTCGTATCGGACAACGAAGCAGTGGAGGCGTTTTTGCCAAATGAAATGTTTTAAGCAAGGCTTTCATATTTCGAGGTCAAAAGTATTTCACTATTTCCGGTTAGAAAATTACTGGCCACGAAACTCCGGCAATAAAGTATGGTCATTGACAGCATAAAAGAAGCAGGGCGTGAATTGAATTGTGAAGTTATGGTTTAGTTAACTATTACTGTAGCCACTTTTCATCGAGGCGTTATCTGTTTAGGCACTCATAAAACTATTAATATGTGTGTTGAGTGTACCACGGTGCAATATACAAAAACAGGCGTCTGAGAGTGTAGCCGAATCATCCAAAAAAAACGTCAGTTAAAGTATTTACAATGAAGTCCACAAACATTGTGCTCCAGAGTTCGCTGAGCTCGACTGCCTTCACGGCCAAAATCTCGAAAAAGGACATCTTCGAGGACTACGTCAATTTGAACTATTCAACTTACGTTCCTGTCCGTTCTCCATCAAGTGGTTCGGGTGTCGCCGTTTCAACTATGACTTCATCAACTGACTTCCTTGTGGCTCGGTATTTTATGACTCGATTGGCCGTGACAGTGAGGACAGAGGTTTCTCTTTCGAGATGCAGATAACAATTAACCTAGGATGTGAGGACGTCTCGGAGAAACGATTTGTTTCCGTGTTTTGTTTGTGTGACTGATATGGTTTACAGCCCTAGACGGTCAAGGCCTTCCCTTTCTGAGGGCGTGTGCTAACTCCAGGATATCTACACGTCATCTGGGACTAATCTACTATTGCTGCGTTTATATGGATGCGGCCGTGGCGCATTAAATCGAGCTAATGGGAAGTCATGCGCATCGAATCAGTTACGATCCGATTCGCTAGAAGTCGGTTGTTTGAGATCGTCAATTCGAATGAAAATCTCGCCAAAAGCTTGGGAATCGAATCCAGTTTCGCGCGAGGCATCATGGGAATGCCACGTTGCATTCCGGAAGTAGGTGCTGACATCTGGAGCTTGAACCAGAATTACCGTACTATTATTGCAGCCCGATCTCAAAGTATGTAGTCGCCTAAGGCTTAATTTGCGTTAACTTTGCATATGAAAATGCGCGTGTGGAATATGAACTGGTAAAAACCTGCAAAAATGACCTTTTTGTTGTAGACATACCAGGAATCCTGAATAACTGTTATCCTGTTTATGTTTTTGTGAGCACCTGTGATGCCTGATGGGAGTCGTTTGACGCACCTTAACACTTTAAAACTCAACAATTTTTTTCTTAAAAAAATTTCTAAAATGAATTGTGTTATTTGTTCGTATGCAAGTTTTCTTTTAATCTAAGGTATTCTATTATGGGGCAGTCTAGAATTTTGTTGTAACACAAATTCTAAACTTTTGGCTTTCCGTCAAACTATAAAGTTTTAAAAAAGTTTCAATGAACACGCAGCCATTATTTCTTTAAAAGTGAGGCTACAAAAAAGTCGGAGGACGCTTAAGGTGGCGGTCCCACGGCCCCAACCATAACACAGGTGCCAGCTGTGCGAATGCTCCTGTTTGCGGTGCAAATGTGTCTGTGCGCGTGGCACGTATTTCGTTATTCTTACAAATAAATTGCCAATTTATCATCAGTGTCTTAGTGCAGAATGTTATATGCGTTTGAAAAAACTTCACGCAGAATAAAAAACCAAAAAGCGCAAGTCTTGATATTTTCAAAGAGAAACTTGGAACGCGCCTCTACGCGTTCCAAGTTTCTGAACTTGTAAAGGATGCATGTCGCGTTCTTATGCTTTTTAATAAATGGATGAAGGACTTTTATGGTTCTGTACTTACGTTTCTTTCTTAATTAGTACACTCGTGTTTTTTTAATATTTATTCAAGAAGTGTCAAGTTTTTATACGAATTTGAAGTGTCGCAACTCAGTTTCACATCATAACGCATCGACGACATTTAAGGGCATGCTCCTGGTAAACATAGGAACAAAGCATTAAAAAAGATTAAAAGTGCAACGCCAGCAGTTTTTTCTTAATACCACTTGATTACGATAAAATTTCAGATAATTCCCTCCGCGCGTTCTTGGTTTTCTCAGATAGCATTCTAACAACTCATCTATATTTTTTTTAATTATCTGCTGGAGGAAATGGGCTGGTTCTCTGTAAGGATTCAGTTCGAAAACGAACTGAATCTTTTCTTTTTCTTTGCTTGAGTGAACTGCAGTAACATAGGTCGAGCCCCCAGATGTCCCTTTTATGTCCATCGTGAATTATCCTCTGCCCTTTTTATGTTTCCGCTTAAATTTTCTACCAGTCAAAATACAAAAGTGGAAAACTTTTCAGAATTTTATTTTGACACAAAAAGCAGATAATTTGTTACTGTCTAGCTGAAGTGATACTGCTGTGCATCGCAAATGTATGTAAGCCGAGATCCTGAGACAACAGTCTCTCAAATAAAATATGTCCTAAGACCTGGCAGGTCTAGGATGGAAACAAAGAGGCTGCTCTGCTCGTAGAAAATTATGTAAGCAACAAGGATTTCCGAAAAGTTTTTAAATCAAGCCCTGGTACCATGCTTTATGTCCATCTTGCATAGTTTAATTTTTTTTTATGCGTTCAAATCGGTCAATGGTTTTGATTGTATATTTTACTTGAATATTTCTATATATAACTCAAAAATTCGATATCGCAGAATAATGTCTTGAAAACCCCGATTTCTCCCCGATTACCAGCTTGGGGAAGAGCGCCTGATTTTTTAGCCCTGATTTTTGAAAATACCTGTATTGCTATGTTAGAATAAACCTACGCAGTTCAGTCGATCTTGTCTCGACAACGACATTGTGGCAGCGGTGCAAGCGTAGCAATTCAGCGGCTATAGTTTTCCCCCATCCAAATTGGCGCCATGGCCCAGTCTGAGCAGCAACCAGAAGCAAAAACGGCTCCAACGCCAGCCTTCGACCCATTTTTCGTCGCTCTCCCAGAGAAGCTCAACTTCCGTCGTCCAGACGGAAGTCGAGCTTTTTTGGGAGAGCGACGAGAGCGATATAAGCAGCAGGACATCCCTGCTGCTTCTATCGCGTGCCAAGATGATTCCTTGAATTGCATTCCACGCTTCATACGAAGCCCAGATGTGCCGGTGACTCGCTTGCGGTTCTGGGTGCAACGCAGTCAAACGCACTCAAACCCAAGTGTCTGAACCGGCCTTATCAACTTATGCTGCAATGCGATCGGCCACGAAGCGATAATAAAATTCCTGGTACTCGCCACAAGTGGTGCTACGATATTCAGTGTGACTGTTTTTTGTTTTTTTTTTCACTTTACACGAGCTTGCTGGCACTAGTGGGACTCAAGGATACTCGCACGCAACGCCACTAACCAAGAAACTCCTTTGTTGCAGTGAGATCTTAGCACGATGCTGCTTAGCTGTCAATATTAAGGGTCTGTGGACTCGTCAAGCTGCAATGCTGTGGCTTTTTTCCACAGCTCCTTCATCTTCTTTGTGCAAGGTGAAAATAAACTGATTTGATTTGAGATTTCAAAGACAAAAGCGAGCGTTTTCATTCAATCCCTCCTTCGCGAAACTTGATGGCGTTTCTGGGCGGTCGCAGTACCGCCCAGGGGGACGATATTTGAAAGCGGTTCATAGATGGGACCCGAGCATTGCGTGGGCACTCGATTTGGGCTCGTTAATCGATACCTCGAGAAGCATTCGGGTAGTGGCACGAGTCCAATCGCTGCAATGACGATAATAGCCGAACCCTAGCAATGTCTGGAACTCAGCGCGTGTCCTGTGCCTTGCCAACCCCAGCGCGTGGCTATGATCAACATTGGCTGCATATAATCGGCTCCAGATCACGTGGCCGCTTGTTCTGGCTGGGAGTTGAGGGGGTGAACTCTGCTCGTTTTAGGGGCGAACTTCTTAAGCCTGGTTCAGACAGTTGCATTTGACTGCGTTGCGGCTGCGAGAAACAAGGACATCCCTGCCGCTTATATCGCGTGCTAAGATGATTCCTTGAATTGGATTCCACGCTTTATAAGAAGCACAGATATGTCGGTGACTCGCTTTCGGTTCTTGACGCAACGCAGTGAAGCGCACTCAAATGCAAGTGTATGAACCGGCCTTTAGGGGCTAGCCATGTCCGTATGTCCGTCCGATGTCCGGCGTCGGGTGCTCGTGCTCACGAGCACGTGAGGACGTGCTCCCGTGCTCGTGTAGGGCAAAGAAAAAAAAAAACCGCATCTCCACGTGGTGAATGATGTTGATTGGGGCGAAGCTCTGGTAGGGCGCTTGTCTGCTTTGACGCTGAGCCGCAGCATGCCGAGCCTTTCGTTCGTTTTCATCCATGTCAGAAAGACAATGTGTGGTATGGAATGGGGTTATATACGCATTTGAGCATTTGACCGCAGAGTGACATGGATGAAAACGAACGAAAGGCTCGGCATGCTGCGGCTCACCGTCTACGCAGACAAGCACCACCAGAGCTTCGCCCCAATCAACATCACTCACCACG